GGGTCACGCAGTCTTGCTGTACTCTGCTGGGAGAGAAGGAGGAACTACCATCGGTCGCCCTTCAGAGTGGGAGAGTACGGAGCCTGGCTTTCGGACGCCCTTAGAGAACGGCTGGACTATCCGCCGGTCGCCTGTGAGAGAGGAGAGTACAGGGAGGTCAGCCGGACGCCTGAGGAAGCTCGGAGAGGATTGCTTAGTACTTCTGGTGGCATGGAGAGAACGGCTGGACTATCCGCCGGTCGCCTGTGAGAGAGGAGAGTACAGGGAGGTCAGCCGGACGCCTGAGGAAGGTCGGAGAGTATTGCTTAGTACTTCTGGTGATATGGAGAGAACGGCTGGACTATCCGCTGGACGCCTTCCAGAGAGGAGAGTACAGGGAGGTCAGCCGGACGCCTGAGGAAGGTCAGCCGGACGCCTGAGGAAGGTCGGAGAGGATTGCTTAGTACTTCTGGTGCTATAGTATTATCATTTCCTTCTTTCTTTCTCTACTCAGCTGACCTGAATGTTTGAAATTGTATCGTGTCTCTTTAAAATTAATAAACAATGTAACAACGATAGAAGCGATAGAAGCTTCTAGAAGAAACTAGCTTGCGATTCGCGGTTTTACGCGGGAGTCTCGCGGTTTCGCGCGGGAAAACACTTAACGGCACATCTTGTTGATAAGCCGCGCTTCATTAGCGACGGGCAGATATAAATACCACGGCCGCAGACGCGGCAACTGCTCAAACACTGCATTAATTTGTTCGAAATTATTTTGTACCAAACGTTTAACATGTATCGACGAAAAATAAATAAACTTTTGTGTGTTTTTCCCAGATACCAAAGAATATCCTTGCATTCCATAAAATCCTACTACAACAATTACACACTCTCCATCTTACTACTTATTCCCTTTTTTCAAATTTAGTATTACCGTTTTCTTCTTTCTCTACAAAATTTTTTCAAATTTTTACTCACAAGTTCCAATCCATTTTTTATATTATTCCCGATACTGTTCCATAAAATGTCACAGTACCGTGCACTGCTAGTCATACGCTCGGTAGTACGATTTTAAACTTTAATCATTTTTGTTATTTGTGCGCTGAACTTCCAATATCGGAGGGAATTTTCAGTGGTCGTTTCCGCCGTACGGAGAGAGGCGTACTATTTCTGGAAAATCCCTGTGATTCCGAGAGGAGATCCTACCGAGAGAAGTTCGATGAAACAACAATGAGAATCATCTGGGGGGATTAACGAGTATCTGAATCGAAATGCCGCTCGGAGAAAAGATAGAAACACAAATTACATGTGCTGCGGGAATATCAGACTCTGCATACCTGATGCGTGGCGTGTCTTCGAAAACACGGTAGATTCGCACGCGAAACGACTGTGGTAGCTGAGATCCTCGCATTGGGTGGTCGATCACACGGCAATCGAGGCCTAATGGCACGTTTAAACTTTGACTCCGGCGATTCTGACCAACGATAATTCGATTAACCTTCCCTCGTGGTCACGTTCCCCACGTGAAACGCTCGTTCGAAATTCCCCCGGGAGTGAACGTGGAATTCGGAACAAAGTGGACGAAAGATAGTGGAAGAAAATCGATGCAATATCCGACAGATATACGTGACTCTGTAAGAAGGGAATGCCTTGCGGTCTGATAACTTCTCATCCGGCATCAACGACTCTTGCCTCGTCACAGCTTACACTCCTCTCTCTGTGATAAACCACGGACATCGGTATATACACGGTGGATAGGTTTTGAAGAATTTTTAAACCGTTACGATCCGTACGCGATCCATACACGTGAAATCGCGCAGTTTCCGCCGCAAAAATCTCTGTCTCCTTTGTTGAAACTGTTGAAAAATCGAGTAAAATAGGCCGACAGGTTTACGGAAGGTATGATCGATGGAAACGGTACTGTATAATAAATTCCCACGTTTCGTCGATTCACCGTGCGTTCCTTCGCGTTCTTGCCGCTGTGCGTTTTACGACGGTCGATCTGGGTGTAACCGTGAAGTGGTTACCCTTCGTTTCAACGGAGTAAAAAAGTAAAGTGCTCGTAGTCCAAGAGGAATTTTCCACGAGTAGCAGAATTCTTCGAGTAACCGTGGCCAAGAAGCAGTCGAACAATCGGAAAGTTGGAAAGAAAATCCACTCTTCTCTCGAAACTTGCACTCGATCGCCTCGCAAATAATTAAGTTCTTTCTTCTTCTCTTCCGTTGGACGAAGTGGAGGAAAGGTTATGGCGGCTGTGCAAGCGACTTAGCAAGCTACTCCCATGAGTAGCAGAAATGCCTGCACAAGCTGTCGTCGATCAAAGTAGTCGGATACCCCGTGGCTCTGGCAATAAGTAAAACGACGCCGAAATAATGGCGCGTGATTCGCGCAAAATAATCTCTAATCCCGGCCATTAGCATCGATTCTCGTGTACAGCACACGTTACAACCCGTCCATCACCGGGTGTTTGTGTAAAGGCAACGCGCACAGACCTTACGTCCATTTCAAAGATCGTTCCTCCAGGTTTGTTCGTTCGTTCGTTCGTTTTTCCTCTTCCTTTTCATCCATCTCCACTTCGAACCCTCCCGTTTCCCTTCTTCTTGCCCCTATCCTCGCGCGTACAAACTCAACACGCCTCGGTGTGTATATACACGTACACACGTTCACGGCGTTCGTGCGATTCCTCCAGCACCGGCAGACTCGTTCGTGTAGGTGGATTTCTCACATCGGCGACCTCGAAAACTTCCACCATCTCCTCCAGCAGGATGTATAAGCGCCGTGGTAGGTGTCCGAGACGAATCGCGGAGAGGGAGTAAAGGCCACGCCGAGTCGAATATATTAGGCTCTTTCGACAGACTTCTTTCGTCCGCCGCTAATTGATGGCTCTTCCGTGATCCTTTCCCGAGAGGGACTACCCGCATTCTGCCCGTGAATTTTTTCACCAGAGGGAACGGCAAATATTATTCTTCTACCTGCATCCACTTTGGCTTTCGTAATTTACTTCGATTTGACAAACGTAAGAGGGAAGTTTGCGTCACTGATTAATCTAACACCTCCTCGATGACCTTATCCTTGCAACGTATCCGTAAGCACGTCCGTTGCGTGGGTATAGAGTTTCGACCAAAAATCATCGCCCACTTCAACGTCCACGCGATTACCATTTCGAACCAACTGAATCAGTTACCACAGAATACTTGTGAAAACCGAGAACCGTAGAATAGGTAGATGGAAAAGAGGCGTATAATACGAGGAATAACGCTTCGGTGTGGAAGAGAGAATGACCGGTCGGAGGGAACCGCAGATAGGGGAATGCTTAATCGGAAAAATGGCTGACGTTCAGGGTGGTCTGCATCAGGAATACAATACTAAAAAACGAGCATCTCTCGGTCGCTTTTGCGCCGAGTTAGATGGAGAGTCAGGATCGTGTGACAGGACGGCTGCCTTTAGGGTGTTGTATGTGTATACCGCGAGAAATCATGGTCGTGCCTGTAAATAGAGTACACACAAGGGGATCTGTCCTGGGCATAAAAACGGTGCCTCCTTCGTTGCTAGGTAGGTGTGAAACGTAAAGTCAGCGATCTGACGAGGCTCGGGCCGATGCACTGCAGATTGCGAGTATCCTTGCTGAGGTCGGACGCCGGGCTTCACCGAAGGTCGTTGCCTGCTCGATATACACGGTGTACCACGAGAATTTTCGCCCCAGCCTCCGACACGTTCACCTCTCTACGCCAAGCCAGCGTACACGCTGTTGAACTTGGTGAAAAGAGAACCGTCGATTACCCGGCCTTCTGAAATGTCGAATTAATTTCTTTCGAAGCGTCTACCAGGGGCCAAGGTAAATGCCTCGGTTTCTTCGATCGAGAATGTAGAGTCCATGCGTTCAAGTCTCCAAAGAGAAAGGAATTGTTCGTTTAACGATTTTCGATTTAGAACGACCGTAGGAACATATTTTACGTAGCAAAATATGATGTAATTTCAAGTCTCCAACTGCACAGCTAGTGTCTTGATTACGAGATTTAATTAAGTATCTCGATTAAGCAGTGATAATACTCTCCTCGTAAGATACCATCGTCTGCGTTTCCGAGCGGTCTCGATTCGTTCTGCGTATTACCATAGTTCCACGGCATTTTTATTACACTTTGTTAGCGGTTTAATAATCCAGCGAGTCGGAGATAAAACGAGCGGAGGGCAATTAATTCTCGTCGCGTTAACACGTTAATGACGACAATGATACAACGACGAAGCGGTGCTTCTCGGAAGGTCTTCGCGAGGTTATGATTCACGCTTTAGAATACCTCCGAGAACCGTGAAAACTATCCTTGGGACCGTATAAATCGTAGTTATGCACCGTGCTCTCCATCCTCTTACGTTATTCGTAAACCGTAATAATCTGTTCACGATCAACTATCCTTCTTGATGGTCATCAGTACCATTACCGTCCCCTTCGAGCTTTTACACTAATCTTTTAAGTCAACGCAAGGTACTTAGGTATCTATCTTGTTCGATCCCTGACACCCTACGGATAATTGTCACTCGCATTAACGGCGATTATCGTTTGCGTTAACGACGATAATCCAAGGGTCGGGAGAAGAATCCAACCTAGGGTAAGAGGATTGAATTGAAACGAACGAAACTAAAATTTTCTTCGGTCGATCGTTGGAGAGTGATCGAGGAATAAGAAGAGACCGAGAGACAGGTAATAAGTAATGAATTTCACAAGGTCTGCGCCGGCGTGGAGCAAAGTGGACGATGGAAGAAGAAATGACGAAGCCGCTCCTTTCCGGGCGGTATAAACAAACGAGACGGGGAATCGAGGCGATAGAGAAGGCGAACGGTCCGGTTTTTGCCGGCAGGGTGCAAGGACAGACGGATTGCTCCGCAGGACTGAAAGTCAGAGCCGAAACGAGGATTGTTGCGACAGCCAGGCAGAAACACACGCGTTTACTCGCCTGTACAACAATCAACGAAACAATTTACAACGAAGATAAGCAATTTCAAAAATACGTGATTTTTGATTTCAGGACGACGGTGGTATCGAGTACTTCAACACGATAGTGGTGCAACCTCATCTGAAGCTTGTGACAAACCAGGGCAGAGGTTTCCACGTGCGATGTCGATACCAAACGCGCGATAAAGTGGTAACGAACGACCAGACCCACGTGGCGATGCTACAGTCCCTACCGCTGCAGGTAACGATGCCATTTTCCCTCGAATCCTAATTGAATAAGCCTCGCGTCAATGCGGCCATTACTATAAAACCAGCGACATCAACCGTAATGCTTCGTTATAAGTACTTGGACGATGAATACCTATATTTCTCTCTTTCTCTAATTTAACACGAGAGACGCTTCGACACTTTTTCTTCGTTTGTTTCGGCAAAAACGAGAGAAAGATCGAGAGGAACGTTGCGAGATGATGAATAATAAATTGTGTTTTACGTGTCTGGACAGGCAACAGCTCCTATGCCGGGATGCACGATGAAGATCTTCAGCGGAGATCCAACGAGGCATCAAGTGGCGGAAAACGTGAAGATCGGGGACCCTCTGACCTTGGTCATTAGCATCGACAAACAGGAAATGTTCGGTCTCAAGATCTCCGACTGCTTGGTGCGCGATGGCCTCGGTTGGGGAGAGCAGAGGCTCATAAACGACGAAGGGTAATTTCGCTGTTGCATATTATCAGAATGCAATTCGCATGCAAAAATCTATACATTCCGTCTTATAGCTCGTTCCGATCACCGGGACCTTTTAACCCTTTGCGAAAGATGGAATGTCCAGAGTTGAATCGAGGAGAACGGTCGACGGTAGGACAGGAAAAGAACAGTCCTTCGAAACAGTAAAAATAAATTGCTCCCGTCGGAGTGTAGTACGATGAATAATTCAAAAGCGGGCCGCGGTTCACTGACACTGCTTTTCATAAGTAAATCACCTGATTCGAGCAGGTTGCAACGCTTATGCACAACACTTTCCCTCTTGACTAACGTGTCCAATTCAAACATCTCCGAAAGCAAGCATCTATCTCTGTGAATTTGCGAAGAAAGATTTACCGTTGCAGCTGCCCGGTCGATGGTGAAATTATGGGACAGTTCACGTACAACGAGGACAAGACCGAGGCAAAAGTGAACTTTCAGGCGCACAAGTTCCCCTATACAGCGAGCGTCTATTACCAGTGCAACGTTCGATTATGCGTGAAACACGACGGTGGATGCACCACCACGGTAACACTTCTTTTCCGAATTCTAATTTCACCTAAGATTGTAATCGAACGTACGAAAGATCTCACGCGCGGGAGAAGCGATTTGGAGAGGTTCCAAAGGAGATTGATCAATATTCCACGGTTGCAGCCGCCAGCGTGTAATTTGGTATCCAGGCGACGCAGGGACACGAACGACAACGCGGCGAAAGGTGTGGAAGGCCTGGACGGAGGAACACCAGCCACCATAGAGGTGTACAGCGGACTGTACGTGAACGAAGCTTCGGACATTGGCTCCAAGTCGGACTTCACCGACGACGTCTTCAGAGAAAGGGTGAGTCCAATTGATATTCCTCTCCTTCGCTCTTTCTTCCAACAGGAAGAAAACTAAAATGTATTTCTTCATTGCGGGTTTATTAGGTTTCAAGAAGAATTCTTTCCGACTTACATTATGCCAGTATCCGGTAAAAGATTTGAATATCCCGCCAGATCGTTATTTCCGTGTTTGCCTAAAATGTAGAATTTTCTTATCAGAAAACTACTAAAATTGGACGATAGACGACAATTGTGATATAAGGGTTAAAAAGAACGATCTTTTCTCATTTTTCGCTACACCTGATATAATCAAAATTAGACACTATCTCACGTCCATCGATACGATCTTGGTTTGCAGACAATCGACGATCCAAACAGCATCTGTATATCGCAGAGGAGCTTCGCCATAGGCATCGCGATCGCGGGTCTGATCCTCATGTTAGCAGTGGTGGCTGCCATTTTGGTGCTGCTCGCCAAGAGGCGGCATAAGAGCGTCTCGACGACCGGATCGTCCATCTACAGCGGACCTTACACTAATACCGCGTACAGTCACAGCAGCTAAGTTCAACCACGAACAACGAGAACGAAAAACTCTTGACTACACGCGGTAGTGAACTCGATTCAACGCTTCCAAACCGTTGATCGAGAGAAATTCTTCCAAGTATCGGGTTCTAAATACGTCAGCCTCGTTGCACCGAGGCGTAGAGAATTTTTAGCTGGATTACACGAGATTTTGCTCAACTGCCGATGCTAAATACACTGTTGTTCTTTCGAGGGAATAGCTCAGAACCCAGTAGGTCCGGACACGTGGTCAAATATACCAGAATTTCTTCTTTTTTTTTTAATATTTCACGTTTCTTGCCATTTGTCCAGGTTCTACTCTCTTCAACACTGCCCTTTCCATATTTTTGCATAGTGAAAATTGTTCAGAGAGTCACGTGTCACGACCTAAGCAGTTTTAGAGAAATCCTAGCCTAGCTCGACAACTTGAAACGAATCGACAAGAATCCCTAGGATTAACTATAATATATACACACGTTAT